GTGTCCGGCAATGAGTGGAATTACCTGACAAAAAAAAAAAAAAAAGGGGATATAGCCCGAAATGTGAAAACAGGAAAATACCGCCCTGAAATCCATTTATTTCAACAAAGTAACTGTAATCCAATTACCACTCACTGAAACAGTAACTGTAACTGAATACAGTTACTCATAATTTGTACTCTGATTACGTAACTCCGGTACATGTAATCTGTTACTCCCCAACACTGCTGTTTGTAAGTGGACATCGCAACTTTCTCTAGGTGAATATTACTTAAAAGGGCCCATACTATGCTTCTCCACCGTGTTTTTAAACTCCATGCACCTTCACTAGAATCATTTGGAGGATTTCAACCTTCATCTGAAACTATGCTACATAAAACAAGCCCTCATGAAATCTAGGTCACTGAAGTTTTGTATATTAAAAAGCTGTTTCACTGTTTGATGGTACATTATTGGCTTGCACTGCACAGCTTTGTGATTTCTAGGGGTGTAACGATATCCAAGTCTCACGATACGATAACGTCACGGTACGATATTTATTGCGATATCATGGGAAAGCTCACGATATGGTGGGGAGGCTCACGAATAGGGATGTAACAATATCCAAATCTCTCATGATATTTACGCAATATTTTCACGATCTACATCTCACGGTACGATATTTATTGCGATATTTTGTGGAGGCTAACAAAACTGTTAATATGTTACTTTTTCCTCGTAAAATGCCTTGACAAGACTTAATCCCAAGAACTAAGACTTAAAAGTGTTAGAACTGTTATTTCTTCTTGTAGTCTGCACTGAAATGGAGCAAAGGATCCTGGATCTATGCAGTTCCCTCTGTCTTTTTTAGTCATTGCTGTACCATAACTCTTAATTTAAGCAAAGAGACTTGTAATTCGATATATTGTGATGGTCCACGATATGATATCACGATAGTTTGGTTATTGTTACATCCCTAGTGATTTCCATGAATTTTTTTTAACAATGAAGGTCCTTTATTATTCAAAACTGACTCATGAGTGTCTTTAGACATATTGCATCAAAAACATACCTGGAGTTTGTTTTATTCACACATGAATAATCCTTTGTTATTAGACTGCCTACATCTCCAAAGCTCAAAATGCTCTGATCCGCTTTGTGATGTCAAGAAGCAGCTACCTTTTACATTTTGGGCCTGTTTAGTCTTATTCCACTGACAGATTATTTTACTTGTCAAGTGAAATTGACTCAAATCATGATCAAACTTTTTTAATTCAAGTCATTTTTAACTTAGATTGTGTTTTTGCAGTGTAGTGAAGGTGTATGGAATTTAAAAACACACACACTTCCTGTATGAACACATGACAATTCAAAGTGTTTTCTGTTTGATAGAAGAACTCCTAAACATGCAGGTGTGAATAAAACATGACACAACTTTGAAATCCATGTATTGTATGTATGTATTCGTACATTCGTTTTTCAATATAAAACCAAAAATAAGAAAATGAAAAAAATAACTATTTTCTTCATTATTTGTCTCCAAAACCAAAATGAAAAAACTGATAATGATTTGTTTTTTCAGTTTTCGATTTTGTGTTTAAATGAATAATGGAAAAAACTGATAAAGGCCGTTTCCTGTTTATGTGACTTAAACTGCGATGCCAGACTGAACCAGGACTAAACCAGGACTAAATCGTTTTCAGTCCTGGTCTGGTCCAAGTGTCAGTCCCGGTCTGGTTACGGTCTGGTCCCAGTCTGGTCCCGGTCTGGTCCTGGTCTCAGTCCCAGTCTCAGTCCTGGTCCTGGACCTGGTTTAGTCCTGGTTCAGTCCGTATGCGGCACAAAAGTCCGACTTCGCAGTTTAATTAACGTAAACGGTAATTTTTTCCATTATTTGTTTAAACACAAAATCGGAAACTGAAAAAATGAATTGTTAGTTCATTTTGGTTTTGGAGACAAATAATGAAGGAAATAGTTGTTTTTTTGTTTTCTTATTTTTGGTTTTATATTGAAAAATGAATGAATAAATAATACACAGACTCTCTGGATATATATATTTGTGATGAGGAAATAAAATCATAACCTAGATCTGAAGATAGTGTAATGTAAGTCTTTTTGCTTATACGTTACACTCTTACTATAATTTATAACCTAAATCTTGCCATATGTTTCAACTAACCAGAGAACTCCTCTTTTAAACCTCTAACCCTCCGAAAAACAGGCGTATACGGTGCGCTGACTACACCTCCGTCCGCGTGGCTTTCTCAGCATCAATTAGCATGTTTTTGTGCAGCTGAGCGTTTCCTCTGGTGGGCCGCGGTAAATAAGGAGATGGAAATGAGGTCCAGCGCTGTAATCCAGCCGGGGTGCAGGTCTCGCGGTAATCCCCCCAAGAGCAGCCTGGCCTGGGGCATGCAGAGGGGTAATCCTGCCCCCTGGGACCTCATCCTCCAGCCCGCTCACACACACACACACACACACACACACACACGCACATACACCGAGGCTGGGTTTACGCACTTTTGGGGACGTTACATCGACTTGACTTTTCTTGGAGACTGATCTGTTCTCGCTTACCTTAAACATAGTCGCTACTTGCTTTAACCTAATCCTTAAAAGTGGACAACGTAACTTTTTGGCTGAGGGTTCGTCACTTGCACGTTTCCATGGATGTGTAATTTCTCTGCCTGGAATGTTCCACAGTATGACATTAAACAACTCCCCACTGTAAAAGACAAAATCTAGTCAAGTTAAGATGACTTGAATTATGAAAGTTTGACCATGATTTGAGTAAATTTCACTTGACAAGTAAAATGAGCTTAGCCTAGTGCCTCCGCTCAATTTCATTTCTGTCCAGCGACTAGGTCAGGAATTGGAATACACTAGACGGTTCGCGAAAACTCCGGAAGTGCAAGTTCGGGTACCGGCCAATCAGCAAAGAGCCAGACATTCTGTGTTGGCAACAATTCCCAAGATCGAGGATTTAAAGCCGGAACAAAGAGAATGTTTGGTAAATTTTATCAAGGGGAAAAATGTTATTGCCCTTCTTCCTACGGGATTTTGGAAAAGCTTAATATACCAGTTAGCCCCATGAGCGGCGCATTACATACGTCACGACCAAATAGCAGCCTACTGTGCAGCGAACGAATCCCAACGCTGCAAGGTCAGACGGTTTCTATGTAGTGAAACCGGCTGATGAATCAGGCTAAAATGATCTGCCAGTGGAAGATATTTTGTACTTAAAATATAAAAATGCATCTTGCTACACTTAAAATAAAAAAACAACAACGTTTTGCACTTAAAATAAGAAATAAAATTAAATGTTGCTTGAATTAAGAATTGAAATTGAATTATTCCACTGGCAGACAATTTTACTTGTGAAGTTGAGTCGACTCAAACAAAGTAAATATTCTTAATTTAAGTCATTTTAACTTACCTAGATATTGTTTTTTCCGTTGTACCTTACATTTATTCAATTACATGTGGTTTTATTGCTCAAAAATCCCTAGAAAAACAAGCATTCTAGGGTCACCTCTCTGCAGATCTGACCTGTAACTTGGTCTGGCTTATAGAAAGATTTAAAACCACACTGTGAAACAATCCAGACAAAGGAATAACATCTCCATAGAGACATAGAAAAAAGCATTTGATGGACCCTCCACCAGAAACGTTACAAAATGCACCTTTAACCTTACAGGATACACATGATGTATTCTTGTGGCTTTAATTCCTTTTTAAACATGAATTAGTGTTTTGCATTTTGTCATTTGAAATAATATCTTTGGAAAACACACATTATTAACTACACTTCAGTTTTATCGATGCATTTAGTAGTTGAAAACAAATAAACAAGTCCTTTTCTTTGTGAATGCTAAGCTGAAGAAGTCAGAATTTGTACCTATGAAGCAACAATACTGGCACAATTCATTGCAAAGCTCTTTTAAGCGCTCAAAGAAGACGACTTTGAATTACGGATGAGTAAAACTAATTTGGAGTAAAATACAAAAGCAATATAACATAATTTAAAGCTAAAAAAAAGAGTTGATTTTGCATATTATTTGTCCTTTAACCTATTTTAACTCCTGACTTTAAATCATGTTGCTGATCTGATAACGTATTTACATCATAGGGAACTGATTTCTGTCCCCATAAAGGAGGCAGGTCCCCGTGAAGTTAGTGTGAATGCAGATTTTAGTCCCCACAATGTGATAAATATCCAGCCCAAAGCAACAGGGACTGAAATACATGGAGCAGAGGAGAAAGAGGAGAGAGAGAGAGGAGCCAGAGAGGAAAGAGGGCAGACAAAGCACCCTCTGGCTCCAAATGCAAAACTTGGGTGACACATCCCGATAACAATGTTTAAAATTTCATTAGCAAAGCGACCTGGATTCATTCCTGTTTGAATAAGTGGAACTGAAATGGAAGCACATGACAGATTGTATTTCTTTTTTCTGTTGGTATGTTTCAATGGTGTGTGTTTTGTTTATATTTTTATGCTGACAAAACACAATAAAAACAGGAGAATTTCACTACGATATCAATACAGTTCTTGACTTTTCAAAATCAGCATCCTGTTTTGGATTGAAGAAAACAGATAGCTAAGTTATTTTACCTGTTTAAAAGTATACCAAAACAGGTGTATGTTCCAAGCAAATATATTATTATCTATTAATAACTGTACTGCCGACCTTTACGCTGGTCAGCAGTAACAGATGTCCTAATGAGGTCTTGGTATTGGGAATGTAACTAAAACCGAAAAAAGGAAGGGAAATTACATCATCAACTAAAGCATCTGAAATCCTCTCCTGATAATAGTCCTGTCACCTCATACCATTCCACTGTAATAATAAGTGCACCTTTAATAAAAAATAAAAATATGAAGCGTATGTTTGAGAGCTGGGCGATGGTGAGTGCAGTTTATCCTTCACACACTGGCCGTGCTCTGCTGTAATTGTGCTCCTTGCTCTCCTGCTGTTGATGTACAGTAGCTGGATATTTCATATTCATTGACGCACTTTCACCTTAGGCTGCTGACAGTTGGACGCATCTATTGTCCATGAGTCCAGAGGCGCAGTGGGCAGGCCTGCAGGGCAAAGCAAAGAGGGAGGTGGGTGATCCGCTGGCTTTACCTGTGTGCATTAGCCAACGTGCACCTCCCCACATCACCCTGCACTGTCTGCACCTGCCCGCACCTGCCTGCACCTGCCCACACCAGGCCACATGTGCTTCAAGGCAGCGTAAACAAACAGTGAGCCACATCTCCATATGCTCTCAAAGGGGTGCTGTGTTGTCTGTCTGCTCCAACAGCTCACAGCACAGGGCTGCATTACAACGCTGTGACACACATACACACACACACACGTGAGCACTGTCACACACACTCTGCACACATTAGCAAGCACCTTTTATTGACTTTTGCACTAGAGCCAGGATGCTGCTCAACATCAAAAGAATTATTCATTTTTTGCGGGGAGTTTAACCCGCTCTCTCGCACCTTTAGAGGCCAATTAGTACCTGCAGTGTAATGAGGCTCGACAGCATGTGAATGTTGCACATAATGAACACAAATGGCATTAGGCTCAGCCCCACACTGCAGCGCACTGATCATATGTCCGTCATGTTGGTGCGTCTCTGTTGTTTTACATGAGCCACACTCACTCACAGGCACGCAGCGACATGGAGCCCATCACTCTGACTTTACTCTGACAGGCTGCGGGTGACTGCGCTGTGCACATTTGTCAGTGCTCACGATGTGTGTGTGCTTTTGTTGTGTGCTCACCGTGCACTGTGTGCTCTGCCGTGTGCTCTGCTGTGCAAGTGTGTACTGTGTAGACTGAATGTATGTGTGTAGTGTGCATGTGTGTATCAGGAGGAGGTGCGATGGCTGCACTGACACATGTCCGACAGTGTGGCTTGCTCCTGGGCCTCTCTCCACACTCCACTGGCCAGGCTCCCCTGAGCTCCATGCATAATGCAGCAGGCCAGAGACACCGCCCGCATCATAATGCACGTGCACATGTGTGCATGCTGTGGGCCGCAGCACAAACTTGCAATGTTTCTTGCATAAGAGTGTGTACGTGTACGAGTGTGTACGTGTACAGTCTACATGTGGTTCACATGGACAGGCCATAATACACCATACTGTATATTCCTGAATACGGCTGCAGTAGAATACCAATGATCAGACTAACATACACAGTGGACGTGTCATTTTACATTTGGAACACCAGAGCATAACTGTGCTGGGTCTAGTTTACATGTCCTGCAGGTTCCTCATGTCCTCATGTGTGGGTCAGGTTGATCCTTCTTCATGGTCAGTGGCTCAAGACTAACCCTCCTTTTGACCATCAACACAATTTAGATGTACCCCTTCTGTATGAAGTACTTCACAAACAGCACAAAACTCCACTGGTGTCTTAACCACAATTGAGACACACTCATCTCTTTATATCCTAGACCTGCATGCGCCACACATTAGGATTTGAAGTATATAACTTGGAATAGTAATGAAAGATACAAGGGGCAAAGTTCACACAAACACAAAGAGTTTTGTGATTTTGGTCTCTGTGCTGCTGTTTCCATGTGCCAGTGAGACACCACTCAAACAAACACTAAGGCTACTTATTTGAAGTCATTCTTCTTATAAGATACGTGACATATAAAAAGAAGGGATGTGCACTTTTAAACTCTTTCCTGTAAAACTCATCTAGCACGTTGGCAAAGTCCCCAGTGTGCACTACTGCTGCCTGATCACCATGTTGCCATATTAGGCCTCCACCAATAGATCTATTGAAAAATGGTCCCTTCTCTGAGGAACAATTACCCGTGCAATAAAGACTACAGCTGGTGAGAAAACAACACAAATAAGAGTGGATCCTGGTGGCCCTGGTCATTACGGCTATATATAGTTGTGCTGCTTGTGGCCTTCATTAGGCCCTCATTTGGTGGTAGTAAAGGGCAGTGTGGCTCCTCCACGTTGCCCTTTAACTCAATGGCACCATGAAGCCCTATGCAAAGGAGGAGCCTCGCTAATAAAGCCAGAGGAGAGATGAGCTGCCAGGCCTTCTTCACACTGGTAATTGTTATGGCATCATTACGCTATGTCCTTTATGGAGCTGGGATCATTTTTGTCTTTGCAGAGGGGTCAGACACGCACAAGCCAAAAGAGTTGAAGGGTACTTTACCCCAATTGAGTTCATGTTTCAAGTCTGGCTGACATGTCCCCAGTGGAGGGTTTGACATCCGTGGTACTAAGTAGGCTGGCAAAGTGCCCCTGGCATCGGGGCACCCAGATGGACAGGGGCTGACCATGATCAAAGCTCAGACACTGTCCTCCATCACCCTGAAGGACACTACCGCGGGCGCACACTTGTCTCTGCTCATGCTACACTTTCATTCTGCTCCAAACACTACAGTAACACATACCAAAAGAAAAAAAAAAAAAAAAAAAAGAAACAAGCCTGCTGAAATTTCTGGAAATTTAAACCCAAACAACATCAAAAATCTGAAATAAAAGTGCGCGGCTAGACTGGTGTTTCACAGATATCAATAGTCTGGTATTGTCTCAGGCATGTGGAGGAGGAGGGGGCAGATCAGAGAGCCGTGCCCAGTGAGGGCTCAGTCTGCTGGGGGCAACGCTTCTGGCAAACCCCCTTACCCCTGCTCTGACCTGGAGGATGCCCCGGCCGCTGCACGCTCCAGACACAGCGGGCAGAGAGGCGCGCAGAATACCAACCAGCTGCCGGCGCCAGGAAGCAAGAAACAACAGCAAGACAACAATACAGCACGAGAGAGGCGAGTGAAGAGGGAAAACAGCACACTGACCAGGATGTAAGCATATGGAAATGTTACATGGAGGAAAGTTTGGGCTGGGCTGGCCAAGCATTCCTCTCTCTTCTATATTTGACTTTAATTGTGCATTCTAATTACAGGAGGTTCCATGCAGCTCTCCTTTGTTTGCCTGCAATCAAGAATACACACTTCTCCAATATTTTATGAAGATGTGAGTCTGGTCAACGTGGAATCTCCCCGAGTACAGATGAGCATGACTGACAGCTTGATTAGCCAATCAGGGACATGCATCATCTGTCAGTTTGAAAACAAATATGGCTGCTTATGAGGAACAAAGGAAGAAATAAATAAATAAAATAAAAAAGACAGGGGGACTAAAAACATTGCAGATTTCTGCAGAATCAAGGATCAACACTCTTGGGCCTGTTTACATGAGAACACTTTATGGGTAAAAATGACAAAATATTTTATCAGTGTGCCTTTCATGACAGTGATGGAGTTTTGGGGCCTAAAAACACCAAAATCTGAAACCACCCTCCAGAGTGGAAAAGTTGAATACACTCCACCGTAGCATTTCCATCTACACTGCCGAAGACGCAAAACTCTGGTCAGATCCTCTCACGTCATGTACGCATTTACGTCACATACATACAGTACACAGAAACAAACATGTCGCCTGGCATGCATACCCAATCGAATTCCTCACAATTTTGCATCACCGTATGCACGCAGTTTTCCTCCCGAAAATGCTCATCTTAACGGGAAATAAAGACTGAAGACGTGACACTACTTTTGCGTCTTCTGCTCAGACCGTCATCATATAAACGTAGCTCTGAGGTCAGTGGTGAGTTTGTTTAAGATGAAGGATCACCAATGAGCTCTTTTGTTTCACATTTGCCACTGAAATAAAGAAATCTGATTGCATGGTTCTGTTTAACTCTGATTCGAGCAGTAAGGGTTGGTTGCATTACTGTTCTCCATTATAAGTACAAGATATCCTTATACTAAATTATGGTGTGAATGCATATTTGGCTGAATGTCTTACACTCATTTAACATCTAACATAATGGACAGACATCCTCTGCAAAAAGTCATATCTAAGTAAATTCACATTACTCAAATTAAGCATGAAAGATTTAACTTCATTTGAGTAGAGTTCACTTGACAATTAAAATTATCTACCAATGGAATAAGTAGTTTTTCTTAATTTAAACAACATAAGTTTGTTTCTTATTTTGGGTATGTTTATATGATGATGGTCTGAACAGAAGACACAAAAATGGCATTGCATCTTCACTGTTTATTCCGCGTTTAGACGAGCGTTTTTGGGAGGAAATCTGCGTGCATACAGTTACGCAAAAGTGTGTGGAATCCGACTGGGTATGCATGCCAGGCGGCTCGGTGGCGACGTGAGCAGATCTGACCAGAGTTTTGCGTCTTGGGCAGTGTAGACGGAAACACTACGGTGGAACATATTCACCTTTTCCACTCTGGAGGGTGGTTTCAGATTTTTGTGTTTTTAGGTCCCAAAAACGCCGTCATCGTCTAAATGAGGCGCTTCCGATAAAATATTTTGTCATTTTTATCCGCAAGCGTTCTTGTGTAAACAGATTTTTTTTTCACTGGTGTATTTTCCAATTTCATCTACAAAAATACACTTTATTTGAAATGTACTCCAATCACTGTAATGATTCTTAATGTTCTTAATAGAGCCTACAAGGTTGTTAGCATCATGAAGATCAAAATCCATGAACAATGTGAGTTAGTATACTATAAAAATACTCGTTTTTGCAGATTGCACTAAAACATCCTGTCTTTGGCTTTGCTGGTGTGGATGTTATGAAACGCTAAGGTGAGCTGAAGGGACAAACCTAACAAGCATTCAGATTTCTCTCCATGAGGCAGGACTGTGGCAGGTCTGAGCCAGCCCACGGTGACTGAGTGATGGGCTCCGTGTACATGAGCAGCCCCTTACCCCTGACATGCAGCCCCCCCCCCCCTCCTGTCACCTGTCAGTCAGAGCACAGCAGAGGGAGAGACAGACAGGTGCCACCCGTGTCCTCTGCCTGCTCCAATCATGTTCCATACTTAGAGAAATGTACTTTTGAGAACATGCAACTGAAACTTCACTATTGTCTTAAACGTACAGTATATGTAAAAAATCCACTTTTAGAATCTTTTAATGGTGTTATGGGATTAGTCGTAGTTGCATTTTGATTGATTCATGCATGTTAGAGTAATCCTCCTGTCCTGAAATAAAGGCTCTATTTTCATCTCTATCCCCAAACCATGTCTACTTTTCTGTACTTACTTGCACTCATTTAAAATAAAACAGACTCCGGGTCTTATGTGTTAGATTCAAAAGCGCAAAGTTTACAGTGTAAATTGGGGTTAAAGAGGCCGTGTTGCACTTCTGTGGGGCAGTAATTGCTACCAAACAACATATTTAGCTCATCGTGTTACCTTTTATCATTTTTGACGCTCTAAGTCTCTAAGTTCAGAGCTCTAGCACAACACAATCAGCGTGCATACCCGTGAATGAAATGACTGCACATTGGATCACGTTTGAGAAGTTGTACTGTATTGTTTTGTGTCATGCTTTTGTATATTTATGGAGAATTGTCACGTGGGAGCGCGGGTGACGTAGATTGTGGGCTGAGCATTGGACTGACTCATACTGTTAACCGTAAAGAGGGTTTGAACAGGGCCTGGGAGAGATGACTAGATTACTAAAACATGCATGGATGACATACTAAAAAAGACACATTCGCCGGACAGAAATGAACCTTTCCAGAACAGCTTCAGAATGATTTTGAGCTGTATCAGAACAAGTACAAGACCACATCAACTAGTAAACTATGTCGACCACTATGTAAACTACCTGGGTAACTGAGGAATTACACAGATATAGTAAGGCTGCATATAATATAAAAGAAAGTACTACAATTTAGATTAGATTAGATAGATTAGATTCAACTTTATTGTCATTACACATGTATAAATACAAGGTAACGAAATGTGGTTTAGCATCTAATCAGAAGTGCAAGGAGCAGCAAGTGTGATGTTGTAGAAGTTTTCAGCTTGTCCAAGAAAGGGTGGAAGTAAAAGGCAGGAGACAAACTGGATGTCTTAAGCAGGAGAAGTTTATTTACCATCAGTAATATGGGCTTGGGGGCCCTGAAAAATCAACATAGTATGATTTCAAAAGA